GGTGGCCCTGTGGCCTATGGGCCAAGTCCACCTACCCAGCTGGACAGCACAGACAGATGGATGGGTGGGCCTCCCCTTCAATGACCACATCTCACTCTCACGGCCTTGCCCTGCTGCCACCTGTTGGCTGGGCCTCTGTGCCTGCACAAGCTTGGCTGGGGTCTCCTCCCACCCTATCTGCTTCCCTCTCCAGCTCTGGCTCCCCTCTAGGAAGCTTTCCTGGCTTCCCTGGGATCTTCTCATTAGCCCAGCTATGCCACCGTCACCCCCCCCCGGCCTGTCACCCAGCTTTTGGAACACCCCTAAAGTGGCTCCCCCATAGAGAGTGGGCCAGTCAAGGAGCTCACGTGGTCTGTACTCAGATAGTATCTGTCCATGGGTCAGGTGCTTTCCTTGAAGCTATGGACTCTAACACACTGGAAGGGAAGGTGAGTTAGAGCTGGGGTCTACCAACGAAGTCCTAGAACCAAGGCTCAGAGAAAGAAAGTGACTGGCCAGTGTTACAGTTGCACAAGGATATGCTAAGCTCAGAATCCAGACCTTCAAGGTGATGCCCAGAGAGAGTTGCTCAAGGATGCACCTCATCTCCTCCACCAGGCAGGAACCTGTCTATCTACTTGGGACCTGACCAAAAATTCCCAGACAAGAGTGAAGGCAATAATGACTACTTCCCCTCCAGCCCCCTAAGGAGATGACACAGAAGCAGGTTGCCCTTGGGGATGTCAGGTTCTCCTTTAGTGCACTTGCACTGCCCACACCCCTTCCCAGCTTGCCTGCTGGGGCCCCATACCCAGGCCCACACCTACTGGTGCCCTACATTTGACCCTCAAGTAAGGTAGGGGGCATCTGTCTTTCCTGGCTCCCAATTTAACAGGGCCTTCTGTGTACAGAATGGCGTGCCTGGCCAGGGCCATACCTGGGGAAGTGAGAGGCCCCAGTTCTCTCCTTGTGAGAGTGGAGCCTGAGGCCCCAGATCAACAGCACCTGTGGGCAAGATAGCCAGACCAGAAGCTTCATTTACAACGGAAAGAAGAGCAAACTGCGGGTAGGGAGGGGCGGCTTGGGGTGGATGGTGACCTTTTTATTAATCTTAGAGGGAAGTTTCTCTCCACTCCCCGCCCCCCTGGCCCCAGCCCAGTCAAGGCCCTGATTGGCCCCGGGCAGGCGGACCTGTGCCCTCTGCGAGGCACAATCTGGTATAACAAGGGCGCGGGCTCAGCCGAAGAAGAGGGAGGCGCAGGAGGAGGCCAGTTCTCCATTTGGTCGCCAGAGTCTGTGGGGCAGGGGCAGCGGGAAGACTGGACCTTCCCAGACACTGACAGATTCAGCGACCGAAGATGTGGGACTCCTAGGCGGGGAGAGAGGGATTTGAAAGGAATTGGAGGGCGCGGTTTCTCCACCCCATCCCCACCCCGCCGCTCGACGAAGGGCCACCGCCGCAGAGGGGCGCTGCCCTCCAAGCTTGGGTCCCCCCCAGGTCCCCGTGAACCTCAAGGCCATCAGGACCCAAGACTCTGCGACCTCCAGGACCCCACAACCCCCAGGACTTCACGTCCCCTAGGACCCTGAGACCTGAAAGACCTTGAGACTCCCAGGGCCCAGGACCAACATATGGCAGGTGAGGCAAGGCCTGGCGCTGACATGGCGCTGCGCCGCCTCCTGAGGTTGCACCGCACGGAGATAGCTGTGGCAGTGGACAGCGCCTTCCCGCTGCTGCACGCTCTAGCAGACCACGACGTGGTGCCCGAACACAAGTTCCAGGTGGGCCACCCCTGCCCCCCGCCTTCAACACCCCAGCTCTCTCCACTCCCTGCCCATGAGCCTAGGGATGGGCACAGGTGCCACTTCTCCTGCTGCCTCTTCAGTACCTCGTTGGGGGTGGTAGGGGAGCCTAGAAGCGCTCACCTGGTCTTGCTTCAGGAGACGATGAGTCTGAAGGACAGGGAAGGCTGTCCCCAGGCCTTCCACGCCCTCCTTTCCTGGCTCCTGACCCAGGACAACACAGCCATCCTGGACTTCTGGAGGGTTCTTTTCAAAGACTACAACCTGGAGAGATATAGTAGGCTGCAGCCCATCCTAGACAGCTTCCCCAAAGGTGAGGGCAGTGGTGTGTGCTGAGTTGGCCTCTGAGTTCTGGTGGACTCAGCTTCCTGGGGATTGGGGAAACCATGTAATCCTGCTGGACTGTGAGCTGGAAGGTGGAGAGGTGGTCTGGGTAGGCCCTCGGTGACCATCTGGGCCCAGCTTGGATTATGAGAGGCTTTTCCACCTTAATGGGGATGTCCACCTCTGAAGCTCACCCCCAAGGGCCAGAAAAGGCTCTGAGGCTTGGCCCCTGCTCCTACCCTCACCTGCAGATGTAGACCTCAGCCAGCCTAAGAAGGGGAGGAAACCCCCTACTGGGCCCAAGGCCTCCATGCTGCCCCCCAAACCCCCTGCCAAGAGGAAGGCCCAGGAGGAGTCTCGGGCCATGCCACCAGCTGCTTTGCCCCCGAGGAGCAGCTCCAGCCCAGGTACTCATTGAGGAGTTCCTGAAAAATCTCCTGGGGGAGCTTGACAACCCCTGGGCACACCTTACCCCAACTGGCTTCAGTCCCACCAGCACTGGCTGGGGCTGCAGAGGCCTCAATGCAGTCCCAACCTCACTCCATCTGACTGTTTCTCCTCTGTGTACTTGACTGGACCTACTGGGTGGGCCTCAGGCTTCTTCCTGCTCCAAATGCTAACTTCCCCAGGGTCCTGTGAAATAGACAGGTGAATGCTTGTTTCCATTTTACTGATGAGAAAACTAGAACCTGGGACCATGAAGACTACTTCCCCTGAACGCTTCCACCCCCCACAACACTCCTTTAATCCCCACCACCCAAAACTCCTAGCTCCACCCCTACATCCCCTTTAGACCAGCCTCCTGGCTGCCTCTAGCTCTCCCTCCAGGCTCCCAAACCAAGGCCAAGCTCTCCAAGAAACCAGAGAACAGCACTGAGTTACAGCGTGTCCCACTGGGAAGTGGTGAGTAAGGTTCCTGTGGGGTGGGGCTACCCCCCTCAAAGGGCTTCTCCTGGGCACAGAACTGAGCTGGCCATGTGTCTCACCCTAGCAGCCTTGGCCACATAGCCAGCCCCAGGAAAAAGAGGTGCCTCGAGCCAATATAGGAGCTTGCTGGTTACCCACACCCCTGTGATGCACACCACAACACCCTGGTCCTGAGACCCTCCTCCCAAGCCTCCCCAACACAACATCCCTGGGCCGTCCTCTCTCCTGACCACCTCACCCCACAGCCACTTAGCTGTCCATTCATCTACCCTCTGCTTCCACAATCTTTTTCCCTTGCTGCCCCTTTCCCACTCCCACCCGTGGTAGCCCAGGTCCAACAGTTGCTCACAGGGATCTTTAGCCTTCGCCCAACCCAGCCTTCATGTGACCTGATTGTGCCCCTGGATCAACAGGAATGGGTCTCTCAAGGTCCATTCTTGACCCTGCCCACCCATCCTAAATACAGGGGTCCCAAACCCAGCTGGGTCTGAGTCTTCTGACTGTGCCTAGGTGATGGGTGGGAACCTCTGGGGTAAGCCTGGGAATCAGTATATCCTATAAGGGCTTCCCAGCCACACCCCAGCCTGGAGCCAGCCTGGCAGCTGGAACCTCCAGGTATGGTGCTGCAAGGTGCCTACCTTCAAAAGCACTGCTGCCTCACCCCTCATCTGCCGCAGCTCACTAGCAGATAGTCCCAGCTTCCTCCCAGGCCTCCCACCCCGCCTAGACCCTCCACCCCACTTCTAATGCTGCCCTCATCTGCATCCCCCCCCCCTTGATCCTGCTGTTCTAGGGACTGGGATGCCCCTCCCCCATGGCCACACACCCAACCTTATTCATCCTTCAAGGCCAGTTCAGACACTGCTACCTGATACAGCATCCCTTGCCCCAAAGCTGGACAACACCTGGCATTTTTCTGCCTCCTCCCACCCTGGTGGCACTTAGCCCCAGCAGTCTCTCCCACTCTGTCATGCTTACCTGAGGGAGGGCCTGGAAATGTTGCTGTGCTCCTAGCACTGGCACAGGGAGGTATCACTGGAGGGATAGTCCCAGTTTATACTTGCCACTTCAGTGGACACTACCCCTTTCCCCACCATGGCCCATCTCTTAACCAGTCAAGGGGCTGGACTCACATGTACACTATCCTCATATGGAGGGCTGTCCCTGACCCCCAACCCACCCTAACGCTTGGGTAAAAGGAAGGAGAGTTCTGAAGCCAGGTGCCACTTGCGCCTGCCCAGCACAGAGGAGGTGCTCAGGAGCCACCCTCACAATTGACAGCCCCCTATTGGGGTGGTCCCTTTCTCAGGAATCCAGACCATGTCTGCCTCGGTCCAGCGAGCTGTAGCCATGTCCTCTGGGGATGTCCCAGGAGCCCGTGGGGCCGTGGAGGGAATCCTCATCCAGCAGGTGTTTGAGTCAGGTACATGAGGGGGACAGGGGCTATCAGGGAGGCAACTAGTGAGAGCAGGCCCAGGCTGCCAGAGACACATCACCCCTTTGTGGCTTTGCTGGCTTTGGAGGGGCAGACCATGCCCAAGTCCAGGGACCTTCTTCAAGGCCAGCAGTGCAGGGCTTCATCCCAGCATGGGATGCCCAGTGCATCTGGATCACTTTCATCCATGGAGTAGCCCCTCCATGACCATGAGGACCCCTAAAGTCTGTGGGCAGACCTTCTGACCTTCCCAGCACCTTCAGCACCTCCTTCTCTCCATCTACCTGGGTTTTTCTCATCCTGCCTTCGCCCGTCACCACCTTTCTGGGTTTCCCAAGTGAGGAAGGGTCTGGTCCCCTCTCACCCACCTAGCTCCTCCCATGAGCCCCAGCAGGCTGATGACCCATACAGGGTGGGCTAGCAGCTGCCTGTCAGTGTCTGCCCAGGGCACCGTGGTGCCCACTGGGGCCAGAGCCACTGTGCAACTGTGTCCTTCACACATAGCCCCTGCCATGACTCTATATGGGGCATAGGCTGAGACCCTGAGGGCAGGGGGCCCATCAGACCCTGGGACCTGATGTAGCCCTGGTCTCACCCCACCAGGAACTATCCCCAGGGTCCCTCAGCAGAGACCCCTCCTGTGTCCGGCATCTGGCTGAAGACTTAACTGGGCCAAGAGTGGGGTGGAGAAAGACGAGCAGCAAGCTGGCAGATGTGTGCACCCGAGAGTCAGGGGTCCTGCATAAGGAGCCAGGCAGGAACCTGCTGGGTAGGGGAGGTCCAGGACCAGTTAACCTCTTCTCACCCAGGTGGCTCCAAGAAGTGTATCCAGGTGGGAGGTGAGTTTTACACTCCCAGCAAGTTTGAAGACCCCGGCAGCAGTGGTGGGAAGAACAAAACCCGAAGTGGTGGAAGCCTGAAGCCTCTGGTCCGAGCCAAGGGAGCTCAGGGCATTGCCCCCGTTAAGTACCACCTGTCTGTCCGTCTGTCCTCAGGGAGGCCTGGTCCTTGGCAGCCCCCTCCTCCTCTGCCCCCCCCCAACAGTCTCTGGGCTAGGAGTTCTGCTGGGGATGGGGTGGGGCTAGGAGCTGTTACAGACAGATGCCTGCCATCCCAGCCATGTGGCCTTCTCCTCCCCAGGCTACCTCTCTCAATAGTGACCATCTTCTTTTCCCTTGCAGGGTGGAGGTGACCCAAGGCTAGGGCAGCAGGGCAGGGTCCCCACCCCTGCTGCCCTGACCAGTGAGTCCCAGCTCCACCAGGTAATGCCCCAGACCATGACGGGAGTCCCCATCACCCCCACCATTCCTTGCAACAGATTCTTATTTGTCCTGGTCCTGGGCACTTGGGTAACAAGGTTGGACTTTGTTTGTTATAGACAGTATTTCTTTTTTTCTGATAACACACAATTGTAAAAATTCAATAAGTTAGAGGAAGTAAAGTCCTTCAGGCTTTTAAACCATGGACAGCATAGTGGATGAGCCAGCTGTACTGAATATCTCACAGCTGTGTCCATGGAGGTGGGACCCGAGCTACTGAGTCAAGAGCACAAGGGCCTACCAAAGCATTAAGCTCATCCTTGAGTTCCCAACACCATTTCTAATGAGGTAGAACCATCTCAGTGTGCTTCTACCATTGTCACTTACAAATCCTGACACTCCAGTGAGAACAGGACCCAGATTGTCTTTCAGGGGTCCTGGCTGGTGGTGATAGTATGGGGAACAGCCTGGTACACAGTGGGTAGGGCATCTGGAGGAGGTGGCATCTGAGAGACTCCTGAGGGTGCAGTGTGCACCATGCCATCCAAAGGTCCAAGGAGGGTGAGGGTCTCAGGTGAAGAAGAAGTGGGTATCTGGGGCCAACAAACACTGCTGGTCAGTCTCACCATTGCCTTTGTAAAGAAGGGTTGAGTGTAGGTGGGTGTACAGAATCACTCACAGAAGCCAGGGTCTGAAGGTCATTTTCAAAGGGGATAGACCCTGGGGGAAATGTGGGGGGCGGGGGGTCTAGAATCTTAGAGAGGGAGGGGACTACTATGGACTCCAGGGAGTGCAATAGGGGTAGAATTTGCAAATGAAAGCCAGCATGGAAGAAGGGGAGAGAATCTTGGTACCCCAGAGAATCCAGGGTCCTCAAGATGCTACTGGTGGAAGTCATTGGTGCAGTGAGGCCCCGCTGACTCCAGGAGTCCAAGTGGGAGGGGCTGCCCATTCTGAGAATCTGGATGGTGTCTCTCCTGTGTCAGAAGAATGAGGATGAGTGTGCTGTGTGCCAAGATGGAGGAGAACTTATCTGCTGTGATGGCTGCCCCCGGGCCTTCCACCTGGCCTGCCTCTGCCCGCCACTCCGGGAGATCCCCAGGTAAGCTTGGCATGTTTATCATCTGCAACACTGCACCTGGCCATCCCCACCCTGCTTTAGAGCCACCTCTGCCCTGAGCCCAAAGGGGAATTCCCCTAGAGTCCTTGTGTTGCGTAGGTTGGAAACGGAGGCCCTTCTGGGAGCCTTGACTCAGGCCTCTGGGCTGTGGGCAGGGACTAGGGGTTTTCCAATCAGGCCTCCCCATCTAGCCTCACTGGCCAGTAGGGTCCTAAGGGTGGGCCAGGCAGAAGGGATGCCCAAGGCAAAGAATACCCTTCCTTTCCTGTCTCAACCCATACCCACCAGCTCAAATACCCATGTACGGCTGATCTGCCCCAAGCAAAGTCCCATCCCATGATGGGGAGCATAGAGGCCCAGAGCTGCACCCCACAAGGGTTGGTGGATACCCATCTTCCCATGCCCAGAACTCTGTCCACCTTCTAACATCCATCAATACCACTTGTCCAGATCTATCCTCTACCACCAGCTCCCAAAGTCAGGGTGCTCTGTAGGGAAGAGTACCAGACAGGAGTCCGGACACCAAGCTCTAGCCCTAGCCTTGCCCTAGCTCCTGGCATGACCTGAGGCAGATCATGTCTCTCTGAGTCTCTATCACTCCATCTCTAAAAGGAAGGGTTTGGTCATCTCTTAGCTGTTGTCTGACACTGGCCACTTGTTCTACCAACCTCTTCCAACTCTCCTGGCCACTGTCCCCTTTATAGAAACATTGGTGGTCCTGGGAATATAAAACATCCCAGTTTAGGGAGGCCCTCACCACCAGGGCAAGGCCCAGGGAAGCCAGCATAGCCCACTGGAGGTGAGCAGGAGTTGGGGATCCTTGGGGATCATCAGGGAAGCGCTCAGGGGGACACTGACTTCACCTACCAGGGGTGAATGCCCCCTCATCCCAGGGTCTCTTACTGACCAGTGGTGGGAGGCCCCTGCAGCTGGAGGCAGGGCCTAAGCACATCTGTGTGGCTCTGCCTGGGCGTTGGTTTCCATATCTGTGAAAAGAGGCTTCCTTTGTCTTGTGTGTTCGAGAGTTTGTTGTCTCTTCTGCCTTGTCCTCCCACACCTCTAACTGGTGACAACATGGGCAGTGGGACCTGGAGGTGCTCCAGCTGCCTCCAGGGAAGAGGCCTGAAGGATGCACCCAATGCAGAGGAGCCTCGACCCCATGAGCCACTTGTGGAGAGCCCGGTAGGCATGGACCCACTCCCAGGTTGGGTCTCCCTCCTGTCATTTTGCCCCTATGGAGTCCTACCTCCTGTCCACTCATATGGGGACAGGCCTGCACAGGGTGGCCACTGATTGCCCTGGTTATAGAATCACAGCCTTGCTGTCCCAGACCACACTGACTCAGCTTTCTAGAGTCAAGCTCCAGGAGATGCTGGCCATTGGAAAGCTGACCACACTCTGGCCAACTCGGGCTTCCAGTTGGGGTGTGTGGGGGCTTGGCTCTATCATCCCAACACAGGAGACCCCATTTGACCACTGACAAATTCCCCAAACAATACTTTTAAGCTTTCTGTTGCAGTATAGAGACCTGAGGGGTACTTCACATGTCCTGTGTACTAAGGGTTTACTTGTGTCCCTGACAGCACTTAAGGGCCATGGGGTAATCCCTTTCTAGAAAGGGAAAGGCTGGGGACTTTGCTGAAGGGTATACAGCCATGAAGCCACAAAGCCAGTAGGCAAACATGGGCCTCTCCCAGCAGTCTGGGTACCATACCAGCTCCCTGGGCTCCCAAGTCCTAGCTCTCACTAGCTGCTTGGGTGGTGTTGGGCAAGTCCCCTGCCAGCCCCTTTTGAACACTGACTTCTGGTTCCAGGTCCTACTGGGACTGAGGCCGGTGGGTGAGGAGGCCAGGGGCCTGCCCAAGGGGCCTCCAGCTGGGATGGACACTGCTCTCACCTATAAGAACCTGCTACCCCCACCCTCCACACTCCCTTTGCCAGTGCTGGACCCCTCTGCCCTGCGCCCCCTGCTATGTGCAAATACTGATGGACAGCAGGTGAGGGGCTTGAAGGCTCAAGGTATCTGTCTTCAGGAAGCTTAGGGTCTATTGGGGAGTCTACAACCAGAAACAGGAGAAAAGGTGACATAAGCTAGTTATGTGAGGGAGGGACCCAGGCTGAGGCTGGGAATATCAGGGTTATGAATTAGTTGTGGAGGAGAATCCTGAAGGAGGAGCCAGAACAGCCTGGTGGGAGGCAGAATGGCTGGGTGCTGAAGGAGAGCACTCTGAAAAGAAGGGGTGGGGTCCTGTGGGCCCTTAGGGGCAAGGTTTAGTTCAGAGCAGAGGGGAGGCCACAGAAGGGCTGCCACTGAATGGTGACAGTTCCCACCAAACCAAAATCTAAACTCACTATGATAAAGTCGATTCCAACTCAAGTTGATTTCAACTCCTAGGGGAGGAGTGGCTGGTAGGTGTGAGCCTCCAGCCTTTGGTTAGTAGTCAAATGCCTTAGGCACTGCACCACCAGGGCTCCTTGACAATTCTAGTCACAAAAGTGAGATAACAAAGGGGCGATGCCCCAGCAAGTTGGAGAGCACTCTCCTGCACTGCCCTGCACCATTCTTTGCCTCCCCTCTTGCTTTCTCTGGGTGACCCTATCCTGGGCCCCCTGGTCCAGGTCTGTGAGGGGACCAATCCCATCAAGGAGGAAGAGATCTGAGCATCTGGTTCCTAAAGCCTGCACCCTGGAAAGTGCTGGGGTACTCCCTGCTCTCCCCCTGAAACCTCAGGACCCACTGTCCTGCGGCACTGTTGCTGATTTCTAACCTGCCCTGGCTGGGTTCCCCACGCCCGGAAGTGCGGTCCAGCCCGTGTGAGGAAGCCGCGCGAGGAACACAGGTTCGGTCTACAGCCTGGAAGGCTGCAGGGTCACGGCCGCGTTCTCTGTTTTCAGGGCGCGGCGCCCGGCGCGAGGTGCGGCGTGTGCGGGGACGGGGCAGACGCGCTCAGGTGCGCCCACTGCGCCGCTGCCTTCCACCTGCGCTGTCACTTCCCCTCAGGCGTCGCCCATCCGGGGTGAGTGCACGGGCGCGGGGGGTGGGGACTACGGAGAGGCTGAGGGAGTGCAGGGAAGCGGGCTGAGGAGAAAAAGACGTGGGAGTCCCGGTGGGATATTGAGGAAGGGGAGGGAGGGCGGGCAGGCCTAGAGCCCCCCACCGTGAGTCTACCATCACTCCCACTACCCCTCACCCCAGTAGGTGCTCAGGGTTGGTGGGAGCAGCAGGCCCCAACCTAGAGTAGTTCCGCCATCCTCCCTCTGTTACAGGACTGTCCAGCGCTGCAAATCCTGCTCAGCAGACTCTGCTCCATCCCTTGCGGAGGGAGCACCAGCCCCAAGCCCTGCCGGGTCGGCACCTGGGCCAGCCAAGGTCAGTGGGGGTTGGAGGGGCGGTGCTCGGTCGGGGGAGGTTTTCATTCTCTGCTGGAGGATTTGGAAGGCAGCTTCATGGTTTGTGGTATATCCACTGACTGTTGATAGATTTTTAAATCAACTCCTTTTTGGTAACTGCATCTAGTGCTGCTGTAACAGAAATACCACAAGTGGATGGCTTTAACAAACAGAAATGTACCCACAATTTAGGAGGCTGTAAGTCCAAATTCAAGGCGTCAACTCTAGGGGAAGGCTTTTTCTCTTTGCTCAGGAGGAAGGTCTATGTCTCCTTTTAACATTTGTACCTGACTGTTCCTTGGAGATGTCCATGTGTCTTAGCAACAGTCTTCCCCTGGGTCTAGGAGGTTCTCAATGCAGGAACCCTGCTTCCAAAGGACGCGCTCCACTCCCAGCCCTTGCTTGGTGGTAGTGAGATCCCTCTTCTCTCTGGTTCTGTCCTTTTATTTCTTATAAGATAAAAGGTGTGACTCAGCAAAAGTGTGACTTGAGAAAAGAGTAGGACTTGATTCATGCCCTTTTGTAAGGCTGTAACTCAAGATACGCCTCACACTTATCCTGTCCTTTAACATGTACCCAAAACCAAACCCATTGTCCTCAAGTTGATTCTTATAGAGACCCCCATTGGGTTTCCATTGTTGTTGTTGTTGTTATGTGCTATCGGGTCGGACCCGACTCATAGTGACCCCTCTTTGGGTTTCTGAGGTGGTGTCACTATGGAAGTAGATTGCCCAGCCTTCCTTCTGAGGAGTGGCTGGTGCGTTTGAACCACCAGCCTTCTGGTTAGCAGTCAAGTGCCTTAGGCACTATGCTACCAGAGCTCTCCGTCAAATGCCTTAGGCAGTATACTACCAGAGCTCCCCATTGATTTTCCAAGGAGGTAAATCTTTACAGAAGTAGATTGCCCCATTTCCTTCCATGGAGCAGCTGATGGGTTTGAACTGCCAATTTTCTGGTTACCTTAGGCACTGTGCCACCACAGCTCCTTTCATTAACATATACTAAGAAAAAAAACAAAAACAAAACAAAAACTCACTGCCCTGGAGTGAATTTGACTCATAGTGTTCCCTCCTTGGGTTTCCAAGGAGGTATCTCTATGGAAGTAGATTACCCAATCTTCCTTCTGAGGGGCAGCTGGTGGGTTTGAACTGCCAGCCTTCTGGTAGCAGTCAAATGCCTTAGGCCCTATGCTACCAGAGCTCCCCATTAACATATAGAGGTTAGGATTTATAACACATCACAAAATGAAGGATAATTATACCAGATCACAAAATGGAGGACAACCATTCAATACTGGGAATCATGACCTAGTTCAGTGCAGTAAATGGCTTAGTGTGGCCCTGCTAGCCATCATCATCCATTTTGTGATGTATTGTAAATCATAGTCTCTTTGCCTGTTTAGGGAGCTCTGGTGGCATAGTGCCTAAGGCATTTGACTGCTAACCAGAAGGCTGGTGGTTTAAACCCACCAGCCACTCCTCAGAAGGAAGGCTGGGCAATCTACTTCCATAGAGATACCGCCTCAGAAACCCAAGGAGGGTTTGCTATGAGTCGGAAACGACTCCACAGCAGTGAGTTTGGTTTTGAGTATGCCTGTTTAGAATGGAATGTATCATGAGTCCTGCCTTGCTGGAGTGTGTGACTCAAGTCACCATCCTTAGTTTTCCTAAGGGTATGTATGAATGTTCTGGGAAAGTTCTCTCCCTTGCCCTGGTCCTGGTCATGTATTTAGTTCATCATCATCTCACCCCTGGACTTAGGAGATACAATTCAATCTGAGACAGTAATGAATCTCTTGAAGAAGGAAGCTCGCCCTAAGCACTAAACCAAAAACACCAAACTCACTGTTGTCAAGCTGATCCCTCCTTGGATTTCCAAGGCGGTATCTCTATGGAGCTCTGGTGGTGCTCTGGTGGCATAGTGCCTAAGGCACTTGACTACTAACCAGTGGGCTGATAGTTCAAACCCACCAGCCACTCCTTGGAAGGAAGATTGGGCAATCTACTTCTGTAGAGATACCGCATTGGAAAGTCAAGGAGGGATCTACTCGATGAGCAGCAGAGTGGTGGTGGGGGCTTGTCTGGGAGCTGAGCAGCACATCCTGAGTTCACGTGTGGAGGAGGGCAGAGGACAGTAAGGGTCCCTGTGTCTCCATATAGGACTTCCTTTTGCTTTTCTCCACTGGCCTGGAAAATCTCTGGGGGTCCCAGGACGTGATGGTGACAAATCCCACCCCCTGCCCAGCGGCCAACCTTCACAATCTCTTGGGCAGGCGCTGGGACAGTACTGTGCCAAGTCCCTGCCCACAGGGGTGGGGCTTGTGTAGAACCAAGTGCAAGGCTCACTCCTCATGCTGACTTGCCCCTTCTGGAAGCCTCTCATTTTCCTGCTGGTTCTGCATCTTGTGGGTCCTAGACCCAGCCAGCTCCCCTCCTCCAGACAGCCTTTGGGGTCGCTCTACCCAATAGCTGCTTTAGTTATTGATGACTGCGTTATTATTTCCTGAGCAGCAAAAACTCATTCTTTGTGTTGTAGAATATATGCTAGTTTTACAGTAAAAAAGTTCAAGACCCCCCACCATCTTTGCTCTTCCTCCTGCCCCCCCATGGCTAGTCACTGTGAATGTGGGGTGTCACCTCCAGACCTTTTCTTTTTTTTTTTTTT